TCATGACTACAGCTCTGTGGTGTCATAGCTCTACTTCTTTATGGATTAGACTGATATCTCTGCTAGTAACATTGCCTAATATTATAGACTAATTGGACAATGTTTAAGTCATTCTATAATGTTCTTATTAATCATGTAAACCTCATTAATATATATCAATAAACTGCCAATTCAACTGGAAATTGTCTTAATATAGATCTACCTTATCAATTCAGTGCTTTCACTATTGACCTAACCTTTCAATTAAATAGAAGTAAGATTTAAAAGGTTATTTAGTTATCTATATTAACATCTGACAATAATTCTTATACGATTTGAATATCTACAATTATTTGAATTTGATTGGTCTGTTTGAGTATCGTTCGGTTGGTTTACATTTCAATAGACCATGCTGCCGAAACTACTATTGTAACCTATGTAAACATAATATCAACTGTACTGTGATAAATACATTCACGAAACACATGAATGGAATCACAGTCTTCCAAGAAGGTTGAAATTGTAAGAAAAATAACAAATTTTGGGGTTGAGAATTATAAGATACACATTTTTTCTAACGGTTATTGATGTGTAAACTGGGCTGCTGACCCATAAACTATACATAAAAATATGTCCTGTTTACATATCTATAACCTCTAGAAAAAAATGTGTTTAATCTTATAATTCTCAAAGAGTGGCATTAAGAATTCAAATGATATAAATTAATTTAGCAGTGAGCATTATTTCAAAATCACAAAAAACAAAACCACATTAACATGATTAGTTTCTTTGGCCTAATGAACCATTTCACATAAGAAAAACATTCACATTTCAAGGTTGATTATTTTATCTTTCAATCAGTCAAATGTTGTACAAATAACAGGTGTGCAAATAAATATTTGCTTCATTTGAATAGCATATAAATATGGTCTCCAGGTATCCTGCTTCTATTTTGGGTAAACAGTTATATTAATATATCTAACCATTGGAGATTGAACAAAAGGTCCCTATGAGTATGAGCTGCTAACCTGGTTAAAAAAATGTAACAAGAAAGTCATTAGCAAATGTTCAGTTGCAACAATCTTTCTACCATTAAATACAATTATGACAAGGTTTGATCAAGATACCATTGGAGAATATTTAAAATAATAATCATGATAATGGTAAGGTCATTTAAGGACAATAACCCAAATAAGGACACAGGTGATAGTGACATCACTCAATATATTTAAGTTCTTGACTTGCAAATCATTTTTTCTGCCACAGCTTATCTGTATCCATTAAAGTTTTCAGAATAATGGCAAAAAACACTAAAATTGTGATTTAGGGCCAGTAACTCCTATAGGAAGTTGATCTACAAGTTCTGTTAACTTATTTGAAGATTTCATTTTGCTGTTCATATTTTGCCGCTCATTTTCTCTTTATCTGTTATAGTTCTCATGATAATAGCCAAAATGCTATTAGGAGTCGTTTGACAACTTCAGGAGTCCATTGACAATTTCTGTCAACATATAAGAAGTTAGTTAAAAAAATATCAGTGTGCCATTAGTCAAGATTCCCTGTAAAAGATTACAGACCTCTGAAATAATAATGATCGAGGGTTTGGATAGCTCCATAATGGCTCAATGATTATTTTCTGAATTTTTTTAATGATTGCAAGTTTTCCTCCACCAATAATACATCAAAGAGTCAAAGTTAGAATATTGGTAAGATATTTCCTGTACCCCAACCGATCCTAATTTTTGAGAGCTAACCTAAACTTTTTTCACTGAAAATTTGGCAAATTATATTTTCACCTGGAGTGTTTTTGATATTGATGTTTTGTTTATTCAACTGCTAGATTAAATCGTTAACAAGTATTTTGAATAACATCAAAATTACTGATGGAAAAAATGGAAGAGTACGTGTAGTTTGAAAAAATTTAAATTATATTTAAGTATAGTGTTGACAATAAACCTTTGATACAGCACTATTGCAGACAGTTGCATTTAAGAAAGATAAGCACTTATTTCAGTGGATAAAATGAGCAAAATGTAGTGGGTCCTTTAATTAATTTGCATAACAATTTCATTTGAATTTGAATTTCCTATTTTAATCAAATAATGATCCCTGTTTCATGTTTAGTGTTTTACATTATCATCTTCACGCTTGTAAAATTACTAATAGGCACGTAAACATTTCTCTAAAGTGCTTAATTTTTATCTTTGACAATGGGAGAAGTGTTTATTTTTTTATTGTTGGTATTGTGAGGAACAGGTTTTATTCTGGAAGTAAGAATGCAAACATCGTGCAGAAGTTGCTCTGTTGATAGAAGTCACATGCATACAAATTTGGGTTGTCAGCATATATCCAAGGGGAGATAATTCAAGAAAGTAAAAAGCATATAAGTTGATAATAGAATCAAATACCATAAATATTTACTTCTATATAAATGTATGCGTATGGAAGCACCAATGTACCTAGTTCAAAAGTTTAAACTGAAATCAGATAGTAATCCTTACTCCTTGAGAGGTGTCACTCAAGGTAATCTGATAGTTCCTAAGCCAAAAGCTGAGCTATTTAAGAAATCTTTTGTTTATCCTGGATCAGTGTTATGGAATGGACTACCACACAAAATGCATAAAGCTCAAAACACTTATACTTTTAAACAAAGTATCAAGAAGTACTTAACACAGTCCTGATAAGATTATGTTTTCTACAATGTATTTGTATATTCTTTTATTTTTATTTGTATTTGATTTTTTGACTACATGTACATCTTGAACAGCCTTATATCTTATCATGTTAGTAATATTACATTGAACTAATTGACTGTAAATTAACTATGTGTAAATATCTGTTTTTGATTGTATTGTAATTTGTATGTGAGGGCCTCAGGGAAGATTAGTTTATTGTAACTAACTGAGTTTACCCTCTTGAAATAAAGAATTTATTATTATAATTATTATAATTTAAAATAAAAAAAAGATACCAGTCTTGTATTACAACTAGTTTCCAGTGCCAGTCAAAACATGGAGTGAAATAAAATAGTCCATTTTGTTCAGAATTTTTTCTGGACTCAATGTTTTCTGTTTGATTAAAGGTTTATGCTGAAATGAAACATCTATCTGGAATTTTTTTTTTGGGACATCAAACCAGAAAGTAGAAGGATATCATGTTGACTGGAAGTGGTGGGAACATGTAAAAACAGCAAACAGAAAGTAGATAAAAGTAGTTTTGACTTCAAGGTTTCATAACTTTTTATTCTTTGTGATATGAGGCACTTTCTTTTCCATTAAATCACAATTTCACATTACTAAATACATGATATGTAAATGGAAATTTTTTCTCTGTAGTATTTTATTTTGAATTTTTTTAAAAGATCAGCTGTTTTGCATGTATCGGGAGGCATATGAAGCAGTAAAAAAAAAACAGTTGGTAATCAAGTTATAAAATCTTGATTTAATGTACATGACTTTCAAAATGGAAATCTATCAAAGGGAGATAATCCTTTTTCTAAAGCTTGAACCTGTCATTTATATTCTTATAGTAGTTGATACTTATTATTACATACAACTAAAATTTTGGTTGGATCAGAGCAAAAGAATTTTACATACAAAACAAAATGCTTTATATATACATTCATATGTTTGAGTCACAAAAATTGCACAAAAATATGAATTTGTTTCAGAATTAATTGCAAACAAGAGTAATCTACCTTCATTTCAAGTCTCAGATTGCCAGAGTTCTGGAAAACGTGTGGTCTGAAGGTCCTGACCACCAAAATTTGGTAAAAGATCGAAACAATATTGGTATCTTGCAATAGAAATAGTAGTGAGGACAAGCAGATTTTCTTCAAGGACCACCAGGGGAAAAAAGATTTAGAGAACTCAGGATTGTTTATTATATTAATTTTATTATAGAATAACCAATTCCTTTCATTAATTGTCATTTGTAACAATTCAAATATCAACCCTGGCTCCTATTAGTCAAGTAATTCAAGAGGCAACTAATATTGGTGATTCAATTTGATCGATAATTTAATGTTGAGAGATGAGAGAAACCACATATAGGACCTTATCATACCTCAGGTAAATTAGAGATGTTGTGATTGGTTTAATGTAGTCCTGTGGTGATCCCTAATGGAACCGTTGGGGGTCAGTAGATTTCATAGGGTATCATGACATCATGTTTACTACTAATGGTGACGTCATCTATGAATGTTATTTATTTCATGGCTTATTTTTATACAAAACTTGGCAGAAAAAGTCCTGAGTGCGATAGATTTGTTATACTGTTCACTAATGACCCCTACGCTTCCATAGAGGGTAAGTAAAATTCATAGAGGATTTGGCCTTCAACCTCACCCACTGTGGATTTTACTGACCCTCTATGGATCTGTAGGGGGTATGTAGCAAACTATATAACTTATAATATAATGGTTCTACTGAACCATATAATAACAGGTCAAACTCTCATGACATCTTACTGTTGTGACATTATTTAAGTTAACTGTTGATGATTGTTAACATATATGTCAATATAAATTAACCTGTGTCATTACATATATCTATTTCTCTAATTCTTACATGATTTATTCCTTTCCTGACATGTTGATTATTTTTATTTAATCAATGTGTGGTTTGTTTGATCTCAGTTCTTCATTGGTCAAAATTCAATTATAACGTCAAATTTTCATGCTTTCTTCTGAATTTCCTATTGTGACGTCATGAAAAAAGGCGACCATGTCTGATAACGTCATATAGAAAGAACACATTTTTTTGCAGATCATTCGATAGGAAGGATTGAATTTGTCTGCATATCTTTAAAAAATCATTAGAGAAACAGATTCCATCACCAAATCTTGTTCAATACGATATTTATCCACTAGAGACAGTCAAATTTAAAATTTTTAAAACCTCGGCAAGCCTCACGTTTTAAATTTGAAAATTTAACTGTTTCTAGTAGATAAATATTGTATCTCACTCAATACAGTGATAGAATCTATATTTCTGTTAATACAGATCAATATTAGTCAGTACCTGCGAATCTGTTTCTGATTTAAAAAGATGATACAAACAGGATACCAGTTCATCATTCTGTCTAACTGTACTACTGTATGTGTTTAGTTCTTCTGGTGACAAGGTCTACAAAACATCAAAACAGCACTAGAAAACAAGGTCTACAATACATCAATTAAATGTTCAACTAAGTATACATTTTCTATATGCTTGTATAAACACTTTTGCAAACCATGAAATCTATTATCCACCAAAAATACACTTTTTTTCTATCCATTAAAATTGTTAACCACAATAATAAATGAATTCACAGTATCTTACTTATTTAACTGAATTTCTTCACAGAATCTGCAATAATACCCATTTGGCACAGTTCCAGGTGTTCATAAACAAATGATGGAGAGTGGAATTTGAATGCAGAAGAAAAATGGGTAAAAAAAGAGGTGAAAGATACCAAAGGGACATTCAAACTCATAAATAGAAAATAAACTGACAATGCCATGACAGAAGAAAAAGACCAAAACACAAAAGTATACAAAACACAACAAAGGGGAGATAATTCAAAATCCAAGTTGGGTCCTTTACAAACCATATATACCTCTTTTGATGAGAAAATCAATGTGGTTGAAACTTATTTTTCAGGCGATTTTAAAAGTATTTATAGTGGCTAGTAAAAAGTAGAAATATGCCAAACAGCAATGAATTGATTTTTGTAAAAATTTGCAAATGTCTCCACCCAAAAAGTATTTTTTTTACAATTTTTTGTAGATTTCTTGGCGCAACCTTTACCTAGGAAACCCATAAAAATTAGTCTGTATGCCGAATACAATGACTCCACATTACACATTTTTTTCTTTGACCAATATTTAAGCACATGTTCATTTTAAATTAAAAGTAAACCTTTACGTGTATTACAATTTCCTGTATCTTAGGGAAAAAAATAAAACATGAGCACATGTAATGAAATATAGTGTGCAACTAAATTTTGTTTAATTGAAAAATGCAGTGCAATGCAATCACTTAAAATATTATTAATTCACCCACAAAATATAGAATAAAATGTTGTATACAGATAAACAATGCGAAATTCATTCTATATTAATCTCTTATTTAATATTGTCTTTAGAGAGATCTAACACTATGGCAGTTAGAAAAGTTGACAACCTACATTAAACACCACGGGTACCACATGTGGAGCAGGAACTGCTTATATAATTACCCTTCCAGAGCACACAAGTTCACCCCCAGATTTTGGTTGGGTTTGAGTTGCTCAATCTTTGTTATTATTTTTTTGTCATTTCATAGTTTTTATTTTGGGTCATTTTATCTGTTTTAATGAACTTACGATTTTGCATTGTTCCTTTTGTATTTTCTCTATCTATTTTCATAATTATTACCTTAATCATGTTATTTCAAAAATACCTTATGATCTATTAGCTTCCCTAATTGACGGACGGTGATTAGCATACCTTATATTCTGTAAGCCATTCTCTGATTGCCTGGGGAAGATCTGCCATATTATATTAGTTTCTTGTAATCTTCATTTGCTCTGGCTGTCTATTTCTGTGATGATCTAAAGAATGAACAAATAATAAAACATATGGTTAATAAATCAAGTACAATGGAACCCGTCTTTAAAGACCCATCACGGGAAAGCAGGTAAATACCCTTTATAGACAGGTGCCCTCTAAAAAGAGGTGTAATTGCTTACATCCACTTCATTTGAACTTTGGTGGATAGTTGTCTCATGGGCAATCATACCAAATCTCCTTATTTTCATATTGTTAATGGAACCACATTTCATTATATAAAACAGAATATTGGTGTGAGTAAAGTCTGATATATATATGTATGATGGAGTGCAAGTTAGGAAAGTTCATGCACTGAATTAATCTCCTTTGCCTGAACAAGATCATCGCTAAAACAGTTACACTTTAGAAATGATTAAAAAGACTATTTCATCAGGTTCATTGTTAGATCTCTATTTGGCATTTTTAACTTTTTTTGATTCAAGCGTCTTTGATGAGTCTTTTTTAGTCGAAACATGTGTCTGGCGTACAAAATTTGACTCCTGGTATCTATGATGAGTTTATTGTATGTTTTACCCTAGCCCCTTTACCGAGGTGAGCAACATCAAGTTGTATAAGCTTTAACAGGTCATGAATAACCATTAATTGGTGGATTCAAATACCTCAATTCAGGAATTGTCCATCATTTGACAAATAAAAAAAATAGACCAATTGAGGTAAAAATGCAATATTCATCACTTAAAAAGTTTTAATGTGATACTTGAGCATCTTTTTGCATATATACCATACCAAGCTTTGATGGACATGTAATTGATTTTGACACATCTGACATACTGTAAGAAAAACTAACATTACCCTCCTTTTCTAATTCATAAATTCTGAGTTTTTCTCTCTTAAAGATGTACTTAGGTCAGGTTTAGGAATTTTTGTCAGAAGATTTGGACTCCTTGTTTTTTTTCCTACGATACAGGGTAAAATATTTCGACCCATAACACCCATTTTTCTTTTCATATAAAACTTCAATAGCTCATAAATGGTCATTTACAAAAATTTAAGCAGATTCTAGATTTCTTTTCTTTCGATTTGAGACCCAAATAGTACCAATGGAAATATAAGGTAAAAGTCCGTGTCAGCCTTTTCCCACAATTTTTTTTAAATCAAATATCTTGAAAAGGAGCTCCATAAGCTATCAATATTTTTAGCTTATTTTGTTCCTAAACTAATACTCTTCTGACTTATAGTATCAATTTTAAATTCTAGATTTTTTTAATTTCACCTAAGTCATGTAAGTACATCCTTAAATAATTTTTTTTCTATAGTTTCTTTCTGACCACTTTGACAATCAAATCTTGAAGTTGGTACTGATGCAGCTTTATATATCCATCAGTTAGTGGATGATAACTCAATAGTAAAGTATTATCTACCTTTTCACAAAATTCAGCACAAGAAGTCAGAAGCCATGAGTGCATCAAAGATTTAGATGGTAAATGCAATAAAAGAGAGAGGAAAGATACCAAAGGGACATTCAAATTGACCTCACCATGGCAAACAAGAAATTCAACCAAAAGTCAAACAACATTTTACGAAAAACGAACATAGTGTCATTTGGTAAAAATCTCACCAGAGCTTATGTTTATATGTGTTATGCTATACTGAATTAAATTAAAGTTTAACATAGCAAACTAAAGACTGAGCTGATAATTTTATCAAAAATGTTTTTTTTTATCTCTCTAACAGATCTATTTTATGTCGAAGTTTTTTTCAAGAATTTCCTGTCTATGGTTTAAAACAAAATTCTCTGTAGAGTGGAAACCAGGGCTTCCAAAAATTATTTGAGCCAGCCGGACATTTTTTGTCTTATCTCAATTTAAATCTTTTAAGACTTAGTAACAAAAGGCAACCAAAGTAATGAGTTGGGCATCATATGAATTATGATTTGCACAAAAACCATATTTTTTTTAACTTGATTTTTTTATAAAAATTTGATGTTCTGGCGTTAAATAGACTGATCACCATTCAAAGTGTGCAACATCAACGTAGTAATATCTGCCATAGACTATTTGTTTGTGCAAAATTAACTTCACTTTCGTTTTTAAAAAGTACATTTTCCTAATACCAGATGTTGACTTGACAATGATAAAACACGGACCACAGACGGATACGTAAAATCCGTGTATACGTTAACAAAGTAGGATTGAGTTTAAGTAGCTCTTTCTGTGTTTTTTCTTCAGGAAACTACTGGAAATGAACATTAGATAAAGAAATCAATGATATTTTTAGCATTTTTGAAAATTCGGATGCATAATTAAATCTCACACCTGCGCACGAGTGCACTAGTTCAAACAACGTGGTCCTGACGATTTTTCACTTAAAACCTTTATTACTACCTTTTCAAATTTTCATCAAATCATATTTATATTCGTTCCTGATAATCTAAATCTTTTTGCCTAAATTAATTAGATGCAAACGGCTAAAATTTAAGAAAATAACTTTTAACAGAATGTTCAATGTCCGGTACAAGTTTACCTGTTGCCTAAACAGGTAAATTTAAGCTGTCAGACAACTACTTAACCTTGATTGTAATTAGATGGCATTACTGTAGGGTTTGTTTTGATAGTACATTTAAGTATTCATCATGTCACGTTTATGACCGGAAATGTGTGGCTGTTTAAGGCAAAAGTTCAGGTCAAAAAGTTCGCATAAACTTCATTTTTTTTTTCTGAACTATGTTAAAATGTCCGTTTCAGCCTTGGCACAACAAGTCATTTATATAATTTACCGGTCAAGTCTGGACAATACGACCGTTTTGGAAGCCCTGGTGGAAACTACATGTGCCTCATTTGCTTTTTCACAAAAAAATTTAAATAAAATATAACGTTTTTTCCTGCCTGCTGACCCTTTCAAATTTTTCTTGTGTTCATATTGGTTTCAAGTATATTTTCCAATGATCAGTAACAATGAATGCACAATGTAATTATATCCCCCTGCCAGCTTTTCTTTTAAAATATCATATAAGTTTAGATATTTAAAATATAAGGTTTTTACTTTTTACTACTGTTTGACTAGGGTGCTCTGTTTACAAAGAAAAGAAAGAAGTAATGGAAACCAACATTCAAAAATGTTTTCCATGGCCTAGTCATTTCATATACATATTTACACCTGTTTGTAAATTTGTCCGCCAATTACTTAAAATCACACAAATTCCTGTAAAATTTGAAATCATATTTTAAATAAATGGAAAATGTGGCTATGGGACACAGATGATGCCCCAGCTTGCATATAACATAATAAAGGGACATTACTAAAGAACTGTAAAAGTGGTGTCATCCAAATTCTGAGTTTCATGGTAATAAGCATTGTGTATAAGTTTAATTCATAACCTTTGGTTGAGGAAACTAAAGTTAGAGAACGGAAACTAATTTTGGGTCATATGGACGGACAAGGGTAACACTTAATGCTCCCTTCGCCTAGCGGCAGGGGCATTAAAATTTGATGTCATAATTAGAAAGTGATTGTTGTTTGTCGTCTAAAGATTATTCGAAGACAGATCTAAGGTCATTGGAGACTAAATTTAACTAAATATCAAAAATGTAATTACTCTATTGTCTTGTGATTAGACAGTTAGACCATCATACAATTTATGCTTTAATTTTTCACAAACTAAATGAATTTGTGAATCGTTTCCATACATCTTAATGCATCCAAATGTGATACACGTTAATAATAATATGTACCTCGGTTTTATATCATGTTTATTTTAGCAATGTTTTGATATGGGAGGTTTAATTGGGGGCTTCTTTTGAGATTTTGGGAGAAAATCAAATAGAAAGATGTGTATATATGCGTAAGACATACTGTATATATCAACTACGTGTGTTCTTTTCAAATGAAATTAATGTGGGGTAAAAAAGCAGACGAAAAACCAGGCGGTGCTGTCATGACGCTTCCGGAAGTTAAAAAAAAATATACTTCCGGTTGTTCCGCACTTTTCAGTCAACCTGTGATATATTGCGCAAAAAAATATCCACTTTTCACAATGAATATATCAGATGATACGTTTGTCAATGTATATGGATTTTGTTATTCAAATTGAATATTTATTATTTAACACTAGATTTTAACTAATAACCGCAGTCAATATTTAATTGACAAAGTACCATAATGTACTGTTATAAATATTTACGATGCCGTCCTGTAAAAAGTAAAATCACAAAAATACTGAACTCCGAGGAAAATTCAAAAAGGAAAGTCCGTAATCAAATGGCAAAATCAAAAGCTCAAACATATCAAACGAATGGATAACAACTGTCATATTCCTGACTTGGTACAGACATTTTCTTATGTAGTAAATTCTTCTTCTTAGAATATAGAATAGAATAGATAGAATAGAAAACTTACAAACATAAGCTCTGGTGAGATGTTTACCGAATATAAAAAAGTATTATAATTTACACTAAACTGTGACAAATAAAACAGGCATTGCACAAGGTCATGTACTTCTCTGACTGTTTATGACGTTTTTACACTTAATCCATTGGATGTTGGATGTGTACTGATTGATATTTTAGTCTTAGATGCATGATTTTTTTTAATTAGTTGTTATTGGCTTTGAATTAGCTGTCGGTAATTGCGAGGTACTCTTAGGTCTGTACTTAGTGAGTTTTTTTTTTGTGGGGATGTATAAATACCCGTCCACGTCGACTCTGTCACGGTTTTTGTTAGATGTATTTCTGATGAGTTCAGCCTTTGTCAACTGATTTTTATATTTTTTTCTATGCTGTACTGTGACACCAGTATTCAAGGTTAGGGGAGGGTTGGCGCCTTCAAACGAGTTTAACCTCGCCACATTATATATGTGCCTGTTCCAAGTCAAGAGCCTGTAGTTGAGTGGTTGTTGTTGTTTGTTGTTTCTCATATTTGTTTTTCGTTTATTGTTTTTGTACTGTGCCGTTGCACCACTGTCCCAGGGTAGGGGGAGCGTTTGGCGCCTGCAAACAAGTTTAACCCCGCCACATTCTGTATGTGCCTGTAATTCAGTAGTTGTCGTTTGTTGCTGTGTAACATATTTGTTTTTCGTTCATTATTTAGTACATGAATTAGGCCGTTAGTTTTCTCGTTTGAATTGTTTTACATTAGTAATTTCGGGGCCTTTTATAGCTGGCTATGCGGTATGGGCTTTGCCTATTGTTGAAGGCCGTACGATGACCTATCATGAGTTGTTAATTTCTGTGTCATTTGGTCTCTTGTGGAGAGTTGTCTCATTGGCAATCATACCACATCTTCTTATTTTTACATCATGCACATATAAAACATACAACAGAATAAAGCCAAGCAACAATCAAAATTTCAGATTTCTAGCAATCTCATATAAGAATTTATATATTTTTTTTATTAAATAGAACTAATACTGTTGGACAAAAAACATCAGCAGCTCATGTGGCAAGCGCTTATATGGGTCATCTGAGAGCAAGTCAGCAGCGGTAAAACAAATTAATTTAAAAATAAGTGCTATATACAGAGTTGCTGCAGCATATTTAAACGATTTTTTTACCATAAGTAGATATTTTACCCGGAGAACATCTAGCTAATATATTACTATATCTAAAAGTGTATTTTGTAGATTTAATTTTTAGAAGACTGTTCAAACATGAAGGATCAATATTATTTAAAATCTTAAAAGTTTCTAGAGCCATAGTCCTGATTCTGCGCACCAGAAGAGTTCACACCTTAGCCTTATCCACAAGCTCTAAACATGTGGAGTTGAAGTCATTATATACATATCGGAGTGCTCTTTCTTGCACTTTTTTCTGTCGTTTTTTGTTGTTTCTCATATTTGTTTTTCGTTTATTGTTTTTGTACTGTGCCGTCTAATTTTGTAGTATTTTTTTCTGTGCAAAAATGCCAATCCAAAGGGCAAAAATTAAAATTACTCATAATAAAAAATGAAATATAGTGAGTTTATTTAATTTGGAAAGAAAAGGTCCCAAAGGTTTCAAAATATTAAGCTGCTGAGATGCCTTTCTACACAAATTACCAATATGTAAATCAAAATTTAACTGGTAGTCAATGTCTATATGGCCAACAATTTTACCACAGTTTCGCAAGATAAATTAGAATTTTGAATATGTATTGATGGGCTTTTCTCAAAGTCTTTTTGCCAACTGCTAACACCTGGAAGTTGTCAGGATTAGCTTGCATCTTATTAAATTTAAACCATTCAATCAATTGTTTGGATTCATCTTCTAATGTAGATATTAGCTTGTCAAAATCAGGACTACAGAACGATAATGTGTTGTCATCTGCGTAGTTATACAATGAGCTTTGCTTATTAAATTAAAAAATATCGTTTAAAAAATCGTTAAACAAAAGAGGTCCAAGAATAGAACCCTGTGGCACACCTTTCTGGATGTCAGCCCAACTACTTAGTATGTTGTCAATTTTTATTTGTTGTTTTCTATTAGATAAATATGAATTTAAAAGAGATACTGAATGAGAAGAGACACCATAAAAGGACAATTTGTCAAGTATAATTTCATAATGTCAGCAATCAAAAGCTTTGGAGAGGTCCATTAAAACTGCGGCTATGTAATGATTTTTATCAAGGGCCTCTCATCAATCCTCTAAAAGTCTAAGCAGTGTGGTCTGACATCCATGACCTCGTCTAAACACAAACAAATGTGGATTAAAAAATTGGTAGAAAAATCTGACAGTTGAGTTTCTAAAACCTTTTCATATAACTTAAAAAAATTGGTAGAACACTTACTGGTCTATTATTAGTTTTTAATAAAGCATCCTTTTTTTATGAAGTGGAGTTACTTGTGCCTCCTTTAGTCTATCTAGAAATACACCAAAGTCAACAGAAAAAAAAATTAGATTTGTCACCTGTGTTGGCAAAAATAGATTTATATAAAAATAAGGAGACGTGGTATGATTGTCAATGAGAAATATATCCACCAAAATTCAAATGAGGTGGATGTAACCAATTATAGGCAACCGTAAGGCCTTCAACAATGAGAAAAACACATACAATCAACAGAAAAATTTATAACATCAGTCAGCTGTGGCGCAAAAACAGATTTACTATGTTTCACAATTTAAGGAAGTTTGCTTGTCATGTTTTGGAATTTTTGTCAGATTTTCGGAATCCTCTGGTTTTATCTATTTGAATGCCTTAAAAAATTTTACACATTGATCCCCATTTTTCTTTTTAAAAATCTTTTACATGTACAATTATAAGCCATCTGTAAAAGTCTTATAAAATCCTAATTATTTTTTAATAGTTTTTGAGAACTTTAACTTGTCAATGATAAAGCTATGAAAAATCAAGAGAGGATTTTTTCCCGCCAAAATTTCAATGGCTAATATCTCGAAAACAAGCACATTGACCTATATTTTATTTTTGCTCATTTTGTTTCTTTATTAATCCCCTATCAATATATACTAGTGTTATGAAAAGCTTGTTATGTTGAAACTGAGTAGCGAACTTCCTTAAGCTGGAATTCCGTCAAAGCCAGTAGCCATGGTAGCCTTTTTGATATTTATTTTTAATTTTTTTCTACCTTCTCGGTGGTACTAGTAGTTCTTTTAAGGATGTTCGCTCCTCTTGTTTTGAATTTTTTGCCAGATTTTCGGAATCCTCTGGTTTTATCCATGTTTTGACATTACAATTTTGTTTCCACTAATTAACCCCTACTTTTCTTTTCAGAATTTTATTACATATAGTTATACAAGCCATATTTGAAAATCTTACAAAATCCTTGTTATTTTTTCATAGTTTTTAAAAGAGAAAAGCGGACAATGTTGAAGATATGAAAAATCTAGAGAGAATCATTTCCCGCCAAATTTTCAGTGGCTTATTTCTCGAAAACAAGCACACGGACCCTTCATTTTTTTGTGCTTTTTTAGTTACTTCATTTATATACTATCATTTCATAACAGTTTTTCAAACGGCTTGTTATTTTGAAACAGAGTAGCGAATATCCTTAAATTCAAAATTTATCTCATGGTCTCTATGATTTTGTATCTCTAAGATGCTGGGCTGTGAAGTTTGGTCATATGTGATATTTTTCCAATTTCCTCAGCTACAGTTGAAAAAAAAGTATTTAAATGTTCTGTAACTTGTTTTGTATCAGTCACAATTTTGTTGTTTTCACTCAAGACTATATTTTGTTGGCCTGAATGACACTTTTTAGAGAAAAAAGGTTTTATAGTTTTCCAAAAATCACACGATTTAGCACCACCGGAGCTTCTTATTAAGAAATAATTTACCAGTGATCTCCTTTTTAAATTATTGACCAGGTTTCTTTGTTTTCTAAATTTTTTCCCAAGGTATTCAATTTCTCTATTTTTTTATTTTGTGTAACTTAAATATAACATATGTTTACAGTGATTAGCTTTCTTTCAGTTTCTAGCGATCCTTCATTATCATTATCTCCGAGTGTTGACTAAAAAAGATAATTTGTAATTCAAAAAAATAAACCTAAGAAACTAAAAAAAATAACAAAGATCTGTGTACATTTAAAAAAAAAACATTTGGACTAAAACTAATAGATATAAGAAGTTGTGGTATGAGTGCCAATGAGACAACTCTCCATCCAAGTCAAAATTTATAAAAGTAAACCATTATAGGTCACAGTACGGTCTTCAACACGGAGCCTTGGCTCACACCGAATTAAGTACATTTGAAAACCATGAAAATTAAGGGTTAAAAATAGGGAATAGAACAGATTCTGGTATCATGCTCTAAAACCATTCACTGGTTTACATATTGTTGTTATGTTTGTCTCATTTTGAATTTGACTGAAGAGTCAAATATTTTGTTAGGCCTAAATATTTTGTAGATTCCAATTTTTCGAGTGAATGATCATATGTAATTTGTAAGTGATGTCTTTAGATTTTCGTTTTTGTGTTTTACTGAGAATATTACATTAATCAGGGCGAAAATACAT